AGAGGGGGGGAATCCAGAACAAACTAGAAATGTCTGTTTTCAGCCCTGCAACACAAAAACGTTCTCAGGTGAGGGCCTCCTTCTCTTCAGGGAACTCAGAGAATCATACTCATGTTCTGAGGTCCCTCCTTCAGATGTCAGCAACCTATAGGACCAGGCTCAGGGAGGTCAAGGAGAGGGAGTGTGGGGGACCAAGGAAGCCCCTCCCCAGGCAGAGGAACCACAGAGGATCCAGACCTGCCTCTGTGTCAGAGCTGCAGCACACTGGGGTAGATTGGTGAGGACGAGTCCCTCCCTACTCTCAGCCACAGGGATCCTGGGAGTCACGGCCCAGTCCTCAGGTCAGTGCTTCTGTGAGGAGACGACACAGGACCTGAGCTCAGTCAGGGGGACTGGGAAGCCCCTCCCTGATGGCATCCCAGAATAATCCAGGTCTGCCTCTGCTGCCCTTCTGTTCCCCAGGGCAGTATTCTCAGGTGGATGCTCCTTGTTGCCCCAAGGGACCAACCTGGACAGGTAGAGCCTTGTTCCAGGGGTCTTGCCTCAGGTGGCAGAAAAGACACCCTGGGCTCAGTCAGCCACCTTCAGGCTCTGTGGGAGGAGGAGGCCCCGCACCAGGCAGAGGGTCCCTAAGTGATAATCCAGCTCTGCCTCTCTTCACAGCCTGCACCACTCAGGGCAGAGTGGGCCCCACCCCCAGGTCTACCCCAGGGGACCCTGAGTGTGTCACTTTGGCTGTGAGGTCCACACTGCATGGGTGGGGAGCGGAGAGGGCCGTGGCTCTTTTACGGGTGATGGGGAGACCCTGTGGGAATGAAGAAGTTGCTCCTGACAAGAGGGGTCCTAAACAACTCAGAAATGGTTCTGTAATTTTTTAATTTATATTTAATGCAAGTCGATATTAATAATTTTTTAAAAAACTCGTTCTATGAAAAAATAAAGCAAAATTTTATAATAAATTAAAGAGTGACATTAGTTAATACACTGTGTACCATAATTTCAAAAGAATTTTCAGAATGTGAGAGTACAAGTTATAGACAAAGACTCTTACAAAAAAGAAGCAAATAGATAATAGCACAAAACTTTCTTTTCAATGAACCAAGAGGACTTAGCAGTATAAATGAAACAAATTAGCATATATATTGAAATGATTTTGAAATCACCCAATAAATAATTTGAGGAATTATTAGAAGTTCTCCCTACTTCCTATTTATCTATCTTCATTTTTTTCATTTTTCCTTAACATTTAATAGAAACTATGTCCAATAAATTTTTCCTGTAGTTTACATAAGATGACCACTACAGAAATTTACTTCGTTTAGAAGGAAGATAGACAGTGAAGGAGAGCCCAGTCCTATGGGATATTTTCAAGCTCTGGCCCTGTAAATTTTGATGTGGAATTCTTCAGTGTGCATCCTAGTTCACCTCAGGGGCTCTGGGAATCAGAGACTTATTCTGAGGGTTGTGCTTGAAGTCCCAAGATGTGTTAGGTCTTGGTGAGATGAGTAGGACAGAGCGAGAAAACCTCATCCAGGGCAGAGGGTCCAAAAAAATCCCACCTTTCTGCAGTTGTCAGCTTTGGACCCAGAACTGAACTGTTCAGGGGTTCCACTGCCTCCTGCAACCCTTTTCTGCTTCTAGGTCCTTGGGTGTCAAAGCCATGGTTTGAGGGGAGCAAAATGAGGTTGGCAGAGGACAGGGGTCCAGGAAGGAGGCCGTCTACACCTTTAGCATCAAGGCAACTGGAAGTCATATAACAGGAAGTTAAGTGGGATGTCTGCATGTAGGAAAATATTTTGATGAACCTTCACACTATTTTTCATAGTGGCTGTAGTAATTTGCATTGAAGAATTATGAATTCACAGAGCAAGATTGGGTTTGGTGAGATTGTTCAATGTATGTTTAATGGAACAGTATATTTACAAAGGTTTTCACGTTGTAAAGGGAGAGGTAAAACTATTGGGGAAAATAAGAAATTATATGCCTAAATGTATATCAAATAAGCAAATGCTTCTAGAACAAATAATTGAGTTTAGATATGTCTCTGGATTCACAAGCATTATGCTTGAATTTTTATACAAACAAAAGCAACTGGAAATTTACATTAAACAGCATGACTTAAGATTTAAAAGAATGAATCAAAAGGAACAAATCTAACAAAAGTATAGACAAATCTCCATATTGAGAAATATATTAAAAAGGATGAGATAATGAAGTTCTAAATAAATTGAATGATAAACATTGATCATTACCAAGATAATTTAATAGAGTTACAAAGCCAATTTTCCCAAATACCTCGATAGATTCAGTGCCATATAAATAAATATTATGAGTCTAGCATTCATATAAAATGCAAAAGACCTAGACCCACCAAAGAAAACTGTTAGCATAGAACAAAGTTGAAGGAGTTGCCCTACTTCATTTCAAGAATTATAAATTAACAACAAACAAGGCAGTGAAACCTGTCTAGAAATACATCAATGTAACAGAATGCAGTCCAAGAATAGATCCACATGTATCTGCATGTACAACTAATTATGGAAAATTAAGGATTACAGGAGAGAAAGGAAAGTCTAAAACAACTATTTCTGAAATCATCATCTCCATATGCAAAGAGTAAACCTTGATCTATTCGATGTCTGTATCTATTTAGATAGATATAGATAATTCTTAGATTTCTCATCCCAGGGATAAAACACCTGACAGCCACAAGTGAAAGGAGGAGAGGTTTATTCTGGGTCACAGTTTTCAGCCAAGAAGCAGAGAGAAGGGGAGAGAACACCCTTCCAGTGTTGCTCCAAGTGACCCCCGCCCCGTTCACCAGTCCCCTCCTCTGAATGGGAGACTTTTGGGGGACATTTTAGATGTGCAGCATAACAATCTGTCTCTCCAAAGAGAAACAGAGATAGTAACAGGGACATTTGGAAGAATTAGATCACGTGATTGTGTCATCTGTCACATTTGAACCCTGTGGGGCAGGCTAGCACGTCGGAAACTCCCACAGTATTTCTTTATTTTTCTTAAAATATATTACTATACTCTTGATTAATGTGTATAAACTATACACATTAATGTGGAAATTCAGTGTGATATTTCATCGCACGGATTCAGCGCGCACTCCTCAAACCCAGCCTTGCTGTATCCACTCTCCCCCACACCCTTCCCACCCTCTGGGAATCACTGGTGTACATCCAGGTTGACTGTTTAAGAACATGCTGTACTTGTCGTCTTGGGGCTACTTTATTTCACTTAACAAAAGCACCTCTCACTTCAGGAACTAAAATTTGCACAGTTTTGAAACTTTAACTTTTAGTTTACTGCAGAAATTTCCTGCAAATATCTTAAAAGAAGCCTAACAAAAATTTACATTTTCTATAGACACAACTATAGAATTATACTGACACATTCAGGTAAAAGGATTCTCATATAAGTAGAGCAATATGTCATATTCATTGACAGGAGAAGGAATATAGTCAAAGTCTCAATTTTCCTTAAATTCCTTATAACTCAGTGTCATACCTGTACAGGGTAAAATTACATAAAAATTAGGCCATAGCATTGTGCTTTCTGAATTAACCTTGGAAAGCAACAGAAGAGAGAGGGAGTAAAGTCTAGCAAACAACATGAGCAACTAAGTGTAAACCTCACAGCATGAGGGATCCCTGGGGGAGGCCGAAGACTGCTGACCTGGGTCTGGAGTTTGCATAGAGGACAGCAGGTGGGGTCTGCACCCGGGCCTGCAGAGGAGGAGCATGACAGCCTGAGGCAGAAGATAGCTGCAAACTCCCGCCTCTACTACAATGCACAGTGGGGGGCAGCGCCTCACTCCAGAGGTCTCCATGGCCAGGGGAAACACGAGGACAGCAGGAGAGTGGAGAGAGCACGGCTGCAGAGATTCTGCTAGTAACACCCTGTGCCCACCCTGGCGGGGGACGACTGGCTGTAAAAACAACTGCTATTTCCCTGCAAAGTAGATGTATGAGAACATAAAGAATGCAAGAGAAATGGAAAAGCAGATACAGCCCTGAATCATGCGTAGTAGCCATGGTTACTGAAGTCAAATAGTTATGTTAAATAAACGTCTCCTCCTTTCTGCCCTAGGGAGCCCTGGGAGTCAGGCTTTCCCCCAAGGTGAATATTTTCAGGTTCAGAAATGACAGAAATCTCTATGCTGTACAAGAGCCAAAGTGAAGACCCTTAAGAAGGACCAAGATGACCAACAGAATCCCATTTGTCTCTTCCTGTCAGACCCTAGGCTCAATGATGGATGTGATATCCATTACCTGCTTCCTGATGGGGTCAGAGTGCTGTGATGGTCTTGTTCTGAGGTGGCTGCTTCAGGTGAGGGGAGTGGAGAGGGCCCCAGCTCTGTTAGGGGTAGAGATTAGAGTGTGAAAGCCCTATCTCAGAAAGAGTGTCTCCAAACAATCCAGATATGCCTATTTTTTATTCCTGAACCACAAGGAACTATTTTCAACTGAGATCACATTGCAACTCAGCAGAGGGGAACAGATTCAGGTCCATGTTGGACTGAGGTTCAAGTTCTGTTAGGACTCAAGGTGATGACACCTAAGGAGGATTAGTGGACAGGGAAGCTCCCCTTCTACCCTTGTATCAGACCCTGGTACGTTGTTGGACAAGGAGTCTACTGACTGTACCTCATTGGGTTGGAGAAACAGAAGGGCCTGTTGTGAGGTTCAGGCTTCAGGTGAGAGGAGTAGAGTGGCTGGGGCTCAGTTAGGGGTTATGGTGACGGGCTATGTGAGGAGTAGAGATGCCTCAATTTAGAAAGAGGGTCCCTAAACTATCCAAATCTTCCTCTCTTGTCATCCCTGGATCACACAGGGGCTGATTTGTTGGAATGAGCTACAGCCTCAGGGAATGCTGGAAGGTAGAGCCTGGGACAGTGAAAAACAGAATCAGGTCCATAGAGGGCTTGGTGCCGGCTCTGCCCGGAACCAAGGTGCCAATCCCTAGGGAGGAGAGAGAAAGACCTAATGAACTCCTTTCTGTTCCTGCTGTCAGCCCTGGGAGACTTGGTACATGTTGCAGGACTTGACATCTGCTCACTGCTCCTGCTCTGGGTCAGAGGGGTAAGAGGTCCTGTTCTGCTCTGTGTGCTTCAGGTAAGAGGAGCTGAGAGGGCCCAGGCTCTGCTACGGGTCATACCGAAGGTTTGTTGGAGGAGTGAAGAAACCCCGCCCCAGAGAGGGATCTGGAATGATCCAGATTTACCTGTGTCGTCAGCCCAGCACTCTGGAAAAACAATTCTCCTATGGGGGCCATAATTTTGCCTCAAGGCATGCAGAGCACACAGTCACAGCCTTGTTCTGAGATCCGGGCTTCAGTGGAGAGGGAGGAGTGGAGAGAACCTGGGCTCAGTTAGTTCAAGGTGAGGGCTGAGAGAAGACTGAGGAAGTCCCATGTCAGAGAGAGAGTTTCAAAACATTCTGGAAAAGACTCTATTGCCTGCCCTGCAGAGCAAGGTGCAGAATTCTCCAGAGGGAGCCCCCTTTCACCTCACTGGGACCAGAGCACTGAGCTTCAGGTGAGAGCACTGAGGGTATTGTTCTGAGCTTTAGCCTTCAGGTGGGTGGAGATAGGACTTAGACTTGATTAGGTTAATTTCAGAGGCAGACAGAGGAGTGAAGAAATCCCAAATGGAGGGTTTCCAAAAAACCCCACATCTGCCTCTGCTGACAGCCCTGCACTCTGCAGTGGAGAATTCTCAGTGAGTACCCTCTTTGCTTCAGGTATCCCTGGAATTCAGAACCTGGTTCTGAGGTCCTTGATTCCAATGGGAGCAGGAGAGAGGACCTGGGCTCAGCTAGATCAAGTTGAGGGCTGTGGTTAAGCATGGGAGCCCTGAACCAGGTAGCAGGCCCCCAAGTAATCTGTAGCTGCCTGTGTTGTCAGGGTTGTCCTTGGGACACACTTGCCAGGGCACTCCACTCTCACTCCTCATGCCCAGGATGACCTCTCTGTCTTAGAAATCCTGCAGTGTCAGACACTTTGTCCAAAGGTGAGCACAGTAAGGTGGATATAGGTCACGGGTCCTGATTTTGGGAGAGACCAAAAGTCAGGTCTGAGGGAGGAGAGGGACCCCAACGGAATGCCTTTTAGTGCTTCCTATCAGCTCTGTGAAGTCCCTGCAAAGTAGATATATGAGATTCAATGACTTCAGCCTCTGGAGTCAGAGGGAGGTGAGGGCCATGTTCTGAGGTCTGACTTTTAGGTGAGGGCAGCTGAGAGAACCTGTGACCAATCCAAGTGGCTCCAAAGTGGGACTTCTGAAATCCCAGCCCAGAGAGAGGCTCTGAACAAACCAGATCCAACTATCTTGTCAGACCTGGACCACAAGGGGGCAGGCTGTCAAAATGCGGCCTCTCCCCACTTGGGCCTCAGGGTCCTGGAAGTCAGAGCCTTGGTGTGACAGGGAACAGTCAGGTAAGAAGAGATGAGGGTTCAGACTGCCAAGATCCAAGTTTAGGACCCAGGGGTAGGAATTAGGGAGTCCATCCCATCCCACTGGATAAGCCCATAGGGGACCTCTCTGCCCCTGTTATCAGGCCTGGCAATCCCTGGGCATAGTGCTTGGGTTTGTGGAACTGCAAATTTCATTGGTGAAGCTCTGAGAATAGTAAAACTCTTGGTCACAGAGAAGACCCCACAGAAGTTGTCCCTTGCTATGAGTCCAAGGAAGCTCCATACAGGGGTCTCTAGTCTTCTACAACAGAGTCCAATGGACTCTAAGGTCTTTGAAGAAGGGAGAAGGTGTCAGGGAATAGGGTGACTTTGATCCTGGCCCAGTCAAGATGAAAAGTGAGGCAGGACTGCGGGGCCCAGGACATGTGATAGATAGGACCCAGCCTGCCTAATCGTTCAATCTGAGTGCTGTCCTACATTCCTACCCAGAATCTGAGGGAGGAGGACTGAGACTCCCAGAGGGTTGGGGCTGCCTCCAGGACTCCAGGGGAGGACTTACAGGGACATTGAGGGACATTGCACCCCACATCAGAGGGTGACCACCCAGACGTCAGCCCCTGGGGGATGCAGTGCACACTTGCCCTGGCTTTTGGTGTCAGGGAGGAGGGGGCCTTGGTCTGAGGAGTGTGGACTCAGGTCAGCAGTTCCAAGCCACGGGAAGCCTGGTCCTACTGACAGGCTGGGGTGGCCTCAGGCAGGACTGTGTACAAGAGTCACCCTGCCCGTCCTTCCACCTCTGCTGTCCTAGGGAGATGGTGTAGTTAATTGGCCAGATGCACCCACAGGTAAGCATCAGGGAAATGTGAACACCTGGGCCTGCACCAGACAAGGGAGGGCTTCTGTTGGTCTTGGGAAACCCTACAGAGGCATCCAGATGTGCTGCATTTTTGTCTCCCTGTTCTCAGGGAGGAGGGCCTTGCTGTGAGGATCTCTACCAGGTCACAGGAGCAGACGCATCCTGTCAGCAAAGGGAGCAGGCGGGATCTGCCGGAATCAAGGCGAGGAACTTGGATGAGCTCTGAAGGTGGTTTCAATTGATACATGCTTGATATGCGTAATGATTACATTCCTTGAGGGGATTTGGTATAAGTACATGACCCATGTGCATTCTTTTTTCGAATTTCCTTTCCCTCTCTTCACTGCTGTCCCTCCTTGCATCTAGTAGATCATAGGGACTAGGTACATGTGCAAATTTTACAATTCACACTTTTAAAAAATCTGATATCCTTCCCCTCTTCCCTCCTCTCTCCAGCTCTTGGCTCCCTTCCAATACCCGAAAGATCTCTCTCACTATTTATCATTATCCATCTTTTATTTTGCTTTTTATTTATATTTTGGGTTTTTCACATAAGAGAAACCGTAGGACATTAAACTCGCATGTATGTGATTTAGCTCATATAACTGTATGGCCTCAAGGTGCATCCACTTTCTTATAAATGACCCAAGTTTATTCCCACATGTTCTTCATCCATTCATCTACTGATGGACATTTAGGCTCTTTCCAAGATTTAGCTGCTGTACTTGTGCTGCTATACACATGCTATTGCATGTATCACTGTGATATGATGTCTTTAATATCCTAAGAAGGTACCTATGAGTAGAACATCTGAACTGAGTGCAATTTTTGTATTATTTTTGCTAAATAATGTTAATACTGATTTCCATATTGTTTGTACCAGTTTACATGCCCACCAACAGTGGAGAAGGACTCCTTTCTATGTGTAGGTCTGCCAGCGTTTGACTTTTAATTTTTTTAAGCAAACATTTATTGCTACATTTTAGATATAAAAAATGGTAATGTTCATCATAGGGAATTTGTACCATTACATGATATATCTTGTTTCCATTTTTCCCTGTCCCCCCCTTCTTTGTGTACAGAAGCTTTGTTTCCATATTTTCCTTTGATTTTCTTTTTTTTTTCCTTGTGCCGGAAAGTCATTATTTATGGAGATGAATTCTGTTCTGTCAATTTTGCAATTCTAGGTCTCTTCTGTTTGCTATGAATGTTAGGATATTTTCTCCTGTTCTGTGAGGGATGCTATGGTATTTTTTTGGGATTTCATTATATCTATATGACATGTTTGTAAATATTGCCATTTTGACAATAATGGTTCTGCCTTTCCAACAACAAGAATATTTTTGCATTTTTTGATATCCTCCTTTTTCAGAGTACTGTAGATTTCATCATAGAGATTTTTCACTTCCTTGCTTATATTAATTCCCAAGTATTTAATTTTTATGCTATTATGAAAGATTTTGTTTTCCTCATTTGTTTTTTTTGGGGGGGGTTGAGTTTATTCATGGACTCTTAATACCTTAGTAAATACTTCATTACTGTTTTGTATCAAGCTGGGTGTTGTGGCACACACCTGTAATCCCAGCACTCAGGAGGCTGAGGCAGGAGGATAGCAGCAAGTTCAAGGCCAGCCTAGGCTACACAGTGAGTTCAAGGATAGCCTGAACTATATTGTGAGACCCTGGCTCAAAAAAATATTTTGTATCATTTTTTTAGCACTTTTTATTAATGTTTTGTGAATGCTCCTGGATTGTTTTGGTTATTACTTCCATTATCTGTTCAGTTATTTTTTTTTCTGTGATCTTGCTGAGAAGGATCTATTTAATCTGTTTTTTCAACGCCTCTGTTTTCTTTCTGAGTTTGAAATATGCTTCTTGGGTTGGCTTTGGGGGAGTTTGGAGTTTTGGGAGGCATTTTCTTGCTTTGCTTTCTCATGTTCTATTTTCTTTTTGTTTGTTTGTCTGTTTGTTACTTTTCTCTTCTGCTGAAGTTAATGCCACTTAATGGAAAGATACTGTTGTTCCTATGGAGTTCTGTTTGGCTTTAGTTTGCTTTTGAGTGAGTACTTTTGGCATAGCTAACTACAGTCTGTTGCCTCTGTTCTAAGATCTGACCACCTCTGTTAATGTGGGAGGGGAGGATGCTTTATAATTTGCCCAATACCATATTATGTGGGACTGTGCCCTGGTACCGTTAATGTCAAAATGTAATCTGAGTATTGGGATACAGAGAAAAGCATTAATGGCAACAATTATGGGACCTTGGCAATGTAAAGCAAATCAGATACAACGGCATCATCCATGCCAAATTGGATATTCACATACATTAAGAAGCAATTAGTTACCACCCTTAACCATAAAATAGAAATTTTCAATTATATTATAAACATTAAAACAAGCTAGATATAAACATATAGCTAATACGTACTGAATGTGACACCTAATGTTAGAAAAAATTCAACAGTTACTATATAATGTTAAGTAACTTATAAAGATTAAGAGAGCTTACTGTTTATTATATTAAAGACATAGCACCCAGCCATCCTCCTGCTGGGTATCTTCCCAAAAGAATTAAAAGAATCATATCACAGTGATATATGCATAGCTATGTTTATAGCAGCACAGTTTGCAATAGCTAAAACTTGGAAACAGCCCATTTGCCCATCCGTTGGAAACAGGATAAAGAAGATGTGGTTTTTCTGTAAAGTGGAATACTACTCAGCCATAAAGAATGAGAAATTAGATTCATTCACAGGAAATGGATACATATGAGGATATACTCCTAAGTGAAATAAATAAGTCACACATGTGTAAACACCGAATAGTTTCTCTGGTGTGAAAAACTATAATAGTACATAAGATCCTAATGAGATAATTGACAATGTGAAATAGGAAGAAAGGGGCTAAAGGTGTAGGGAAAGTGGGAAGGGTAGGGGAAAGGTAATAAGGGAAAAGAAAAAAATATGAGAAAATGAAAAAAATGGAAATAAAGTGTTTGTAAATTGGGAGGGGAGGAGGGGTGAAGGGGGAGTAGGGACAAGGGGAAAAAATGGAACCAAGACCTGTCATGTAGAGGTACAAGATCCCAGTAATGAATGTAACTGTACTGTATGTACCAATAAACTCAATGAGGAAAAGAAAAAGACATAGGGGGCTTTGAAAAGGGGAATAAAGGAAAAAAAGTTTGAAAGTTCTAGGATAGTAGTGGTGAACCTATGGCAAGCATGTTATTTGTTTTTCTTTTAAGGCAAAAGATGTTAATGTATGAGATGTTTTTCCTAAATCAAAATCTCACTACTCAGGTTTAATTGCTGAGTTGGCACTTTGTGATAAATAAATATGGGCTGCAGTTTGGGCACTTATCTCCAAAAGTTTCACCATCATTGCTCTAGGATATAAAGAGGAGGGAATAGTTGGAGAAAAGATTCTTTAAGAACTAAAAGGGTGTTTATAGATTTAGGTAAATGTAGCAACAGCAACAACAAAAAAACTCATGAGAAATTGAACAGAATAGAATCAAGGGAGAAAAGGAAAGGCATTATATGGAGAATAACAATATAGAAAATCAAAAGGGAAAAGAAAACAAGAAGTGAGAAAAATATAAGAAAAATATTTGATTTCCAAAATATAGATTTTCAAAATATAGAATTTTGAAACCTATCAACTCTCAGTTTTCTTAGATGCCCCTCTACTTTTCACAGGCTGTGTACAAGTCGCAAACTGTTCTTGCTCACAGTAGTAGATCAAGAAGGGATCTATGTTGGATGCAGACAGGAGAGCAAAGGCTTAAAAAGCCAAGGTAGAGTCTTTCAAATCCAGAGCAACTCAGACTGGACCTGGCCTGTGGCTGCTGGGAGTGGGACCTCTTCCCTTGCCAAACAAGCTGAAAGTTTTCAATGGATCTCTTTCTAGCCACATCCCTCTCCATGGTCATTTTCTGAGAATGTCTCTTACCAAGTCACTGTGGGAGGATAACATCTGGAACCCTGAAGAGTTGCTGTTCTGTGGCTGTTCTGAATTCCAGGTTCAAATATTCTACCCTTTCCTGGAGTAGCACCCAAACATGTGATCTCCAAGGATAAGGCAGGCACTTGCAGAGGGTTCAGTCCCCTGCTATTTCCTGTGTAAGGGCTCTGGAAGAACAGAAATCCACACTGTCCCTGCAGAGCACAGTGCCTTTCCTCCTCAGGATCTTCTGGAGTCTCCATGTTTCCCCTTGGTTCTACAGCTTCAGTCTTCATTCCCAAGAATCAGAAGCCAGAGAGAAAGAGCAGACTATTTTGTTCTCTTTTCTACATTCTAGTCTGTCTCTTGAGCTCTGTAGTTTTTAATTTTCCTGTCATTTCATTCCAGATTCTTGGAGAAATCTCTCTTTTTTTGTTTCCTTTTTTTCTCCCCAAAATATAATTTTCCCAGAGTCTGTATTTTGAATATTGGAGAGGCTGAATTACTGTTGCTCTCTACCCTTCTATTCTCTAGCTTTGAAGGTAACACACACCCATGAAAAAGGAAACCCACAAAACCTGGCTTTCCATGTTTTCAGTCTGCAGTTCCCAGTGATGGGAGCTGTATGTGATTTGCTTTTATTTCTGCTAAGTGGTTGTGGGTAGTAGGACTCAGGGATGTGAGGTGACTACAAATCAGTCTAAGTAGCAACATATGGTTAGTAAATGGAGGACCCCAAGAGCTGACCCTAGCTATGGCCTCTTCCTTAGGACTGAGTGTGCCCACTGTCGAGAAACAACAGTCTTTCTGTCCCCTGGGTCAGGCATAGGAGGCCCTAAGTGGCATGTTCACTTCTACCACGGGCAGAAAGGTGGGGAGTCATAAGGGAGATGAGGTCTTGGTATCAAAGGGGAGGTCATTTCTTCTCTGGTGGGGTTGTGACGAGGAAGGTTATGCCGCCAAAGGAAGAAGATGCAGAAAATGCAGAAACTCACAGGGGATGTATTACTAATTTTTCATTGCTGAAACCCAATACCCAACACCTGCAACTTAATAGAGACAAAGTTGATTGTGATTACAAGTTACAGTGGTTTAATCCATAATTGGACAGCTCCAGGCAAAACATCAGAGTGGAATGGCCTTGTGAGAGGAAAGCTGCTTACTACAAGTCTTCTAGGAAGCTGAGAGTGAAGGGCAGAGCCAGAAAAGGAGATATAATCCTCCTTTCTCACACCCACAGTGACCTTCCTCTTCCTACCAGGGCCCACTTCTTAATGGCAAGCCAACTGTTGGTCCTCCATAATCCAATCACCTCCCAAGGCCCTGCCTTGGTCCCATGGGACTTTAGTGGGAAATCTAAATTAAACCAAAAACAGAGGTCCTGCATCACAGGAGAGATGGGTAGAGGTCCTGCTATGAGTCCTGGACTCCCCATGTACAGATAATGGGATGGGTTCCTGCTCACTTCTTTTGATAATCTTGGAGATCTCAGGGAGGTGAGGGATTTGATCTGAGAGGGTGTCTGCAGGTTGTACAGGAAACCCCATGTCATCAGAAGACATAGAGGTCCCAGGATCTACCAACAGTCAAAGTGAGGGCCCTAAAGGAGGACAGAGTTTACCTCTGCCTAGAACACAGACGGGTGGATGCTAGGAAATATCTATCCAGTCTCTTTGTTTATCACAGTAAGCCTGGAAATGGCAGTGAGGTTGAGGCCTCTGTCTTAGTTCTAGGTAATTTGTCTTAAGGAGTTGAAGGCCTTGGTAGGAAGGGGCTAGACTCTGAACAACAGAAGTAGGATATCAGGCACTGGCAAGAATCTAAGTGAAGGCAGAGGGAACCCGTTAACAGAACATACAGTACCCTAAACTCAACCTGTCCTTTTGCCACCTGTCATCAGACCCAGAGAATACAGGTGGGCTGGCTTCTCCTCAATTCCTATTTGAATGTCTCACAGAGATAGAACTGGTTTAAAAGTGGGCACAGGTCATCCCATGGAGAGTCCTAGACCTTACCATTTGTAAAGCTAAGGATGCAGCAGATTCCTTTCCTAGGGCTCTTGTAATCAAGTGAATTTTTCCACCTCCTGCTGTTGCCCCAGGTAGATGTATCCAGATATGTTCCCTCTCAGAGAGGTGGCCACTTTCTCTGAGAAGTTGCCTCTGCCAGCAGAGGGCTGGCATCCAGGGCCCTTAGTAAGTAGAGAGGGAACCATATATACACAACAGTGGGAATCTTATAGAGTCCAGCCCACCCCTCTTCTAAAGGCTGGGATATAGGCATTGTGTGCATCCTGAGGGGCCCTCCATGCCTCTTACAGGAGTTCCAGGAACCAGGAAGTGGTGGTCTTTATGTACAGCAGTCCACAGATCACACAGTAGAGGAGGTGCAGGAAGTGTCAGGATTAAAGTGAGGTGTGTGCCCTGATGTGTACCTAAGGTCCCCACTTCCCAGGACAGAGGGGACTCCATGATCTCAGGCCCCATTAGCCCTACTGTCTGCCCTAGAGCCTGTCCTATGTGATTCAGCTATACATAGAGAGGAGCAGTCTCACTTCCTTACCCAGGTTCCTGGGGACAGAGCCTCCAGGAGGCCAGAATTTTATGAAGCACTACAGCCCCATCCAAAGAAAAGATGTGTTGTGGGCCTTTACGGGAGCCAACAAGAGTACCATTCTCAGCTGAGTATAATCAGTTTTTCTCTCTCCTCCAGGCATCTGAGTCTTCATCATCAGATTCTTGCTGTCCTAAGAAACATCGGAACATCTTCATGGTCAGAGAAGACAGCACAGCAAGCTAGAGGGAGGCCATCCTGATCAACGAGAGACCTGGGGCCTGGTGGAGGTACACATTCTCAAACCTGAGGGAGAGCAAGTAACAATCACTGCTTCCTCAGCCTCCTCTTCCTGCTATACTCCAGTCTGGACTACATCAAGAGAAACGCCTCAGGGTGATCTTGTCTCTAGAATACGTAGGGTGTCTTTTCTCCCCCTACTACCATGGCCTCACGTCACATGTGCCAATTCAATGAGGGCTACAGTAGGCAAGAAGATGAGGATCTGTGCAGCTCAGAGAATGTTCTAGTCCGTCAGATCTTGCGACTTGTGTTCCTAGATGAAAAGATAGCTAAATTGTTGCCAATCCTGCTCCTCAAGTACCAAAAGAAAGAGCCAATCACCAGGGCAGAAATGCTGCACATTGTCGATGAGGATTACCATGTATACTTCCCTCTGATTGTCAGTCTAGTCTGTGAGTGCATGTGTCTGGGCTTTGGGATTGATGTGCAGGAAGTGGATCCTTCTGGCCACACATATGTCCTTATTCCTCTTTTGGGGCTTACTTATAATGGGATACTGGGCAATGACCAGATCATCCCTAAAATCAATCTTCTAATAGTCATCCTTACTATTATCTTCATGAAGGATAACTGTGCCAGTGAGGAAGACATAAGGAAAGTACTGAGAACGAGGGAAAAGTTACCTCAGAGTAAACATATTGTTATTGGGGAGCCTTGGAAATTCATCACGCAGGATTTGGTACGGGAAAAGTACCTGGTGTATCGGCAAGTGCGCAATAGTTATTCTGCTCGCTATGAGTTCCTGTGGGGTCCAAGGGCCAAGGCTGAAACTACCAAGATGAAAGTTTTGGAGCACTTGGCAAAAGTCAATAGGAGAGATCCCAGGTCCTACACACGTCTGTATGAGAAGGCTTTGAGAGAGGACCTACAGGATGCCATGCTTGAGTGATGGGGCCACAGAGGAGGTGAAGTGTGTGACAGGGACAAGTGCTATTCTGCAGCCACAGAACTAGCTTATGTCCCACCTCACGTGAAGTGGGGCCTATATTTTAGTCTATGTTTGCAGAGAGCAGGTCATTTTCTAGGTGGGGCATGGCCCAGGTGTGATGGGGATAATCCAGTACCTACCATCTTGATGACTATTCTATTTGGATTACATGGAAATTGATGTGTTTTCTTCATGACTTATCTTTTTCCTTTTTCCAAGATTAAAGGAGCTCTTGCATCTTATTTGAAGAAGGGTATTAATCTTACATATATTTTTAATTTTCTGATGTTGATGGTTGATTGTTATTTCAGATATAAATGTGATTTTGCATGATAATGATCATTTAGGAATTTTGCACTTTGATTCTAAGTGCAGGTATTTTTGAAATTTTGTACAATCAACTGAAACAAGTTAGTATTGGAATTGGAATTTCCTTAGAAATGTGTATGAAATTTATGTCAGATGGGGTTCAGAAATAGCGATAAGGATAAAAACCTAATGTTCTATATTATTAAAGATATATGTGTAACTGAACTTTTTGCAGTTTCTTTAATTATACTGTATTAGGGAAATTTGCTGTCAGTATAGAACCCCATCTACCTACAGGCACATTGACCTCCAAATTCTCATTAAAGTGTGCTCGTTGGAAGGTCCTGTGTCTGTGATAGAGATATGAGTAAAGTAGAGTGAGCAGGATTAAACTTATGCTATACGATGGTAGAATCCAGGAGAGCCACCAATGTCAGATGTGAGATGTCTGCCAGGACTTAAAGGGCACTGAGGGGGCAGAGTCTAGTGGATAGCAGCCATTCTGAGTGCTGAGCCAGGGCAGTTTGGGGCTTGGGGTAGCAGCTCTTCCTTCTGAAGGAATTGATTTTAATGCAGCTGCATGGTGGCCCAGGTCTAACATTCAGATGAGGTCTGGACCTGAGATAAAAGCCTGAGAGAATGGAAGACTGCTCTGAGCATGGTTTTGAGATCATGGATGAAGCTGGGAGGAATCTTCACCTGGGACAGCTATGAAAAGAGTGGTCCTACTCAGGGCAAGAACCAGGGAACTTATGCCTTTGCAAGGCTTCCCTGAGAGATAAGGGGGATTTTCCTGAGAGATCAGGTAAAATGAGGCCCTAAAGTCCCTGGCCAGGTGCTCTGTTCTCTGCTGGAAGGGTCTACTTTCCAGGGTTTTGCCGTACCCAGTTGAGTGCTTTCCTAGGGAAAAATTTTCTACTTCAGTCCAGTTTGCCTCAACACTCTTACAAGATTGCTGTCATGTTCTGGCCAGCGGTATCAGCCAGTTACACAAATGGTCAGATGACTGCCTAACCAAGGACTTCTCCCTCCAGAGACTCGGTGTTTGCAAGTGTCGTCTCCCTGTCTAATAACAGTACTCTATCTTGGTCAGTTTCTAATTATTTCTTTGTGAACAGAGTTTCTGCTGGTGATGTCAGGATATGAAAGCTTTGCTTGAAGTTTCACGAAATTGCATTTGTGTTGAGCTGGTCTTGTCACTAGAATGGCCAGGATTTTCAACCCTTTTTCATAGACACTTTGGGATTCCCAGGCTGGACTTTTGGTGAAGGGGATATGATTAAAAATAGTTGTTCCAGGACTGGTGATTTAGCTCAGTGGTTCCAATGCTTGCTTTACAAGAAAAAGGTCCCAAGTTCTATCCCCGACGCTCACCA